AGCTAGCAGACCAAGAGTCTACAATTTTCCTGCAAAAATGTTGTGGCCAATGAAGCAGAAGCTTTAGCCCATCTAAATACTTCCTCACTTTTGCTGTGCCAGACAGGAAGAGACTTCAGAGCCCAGGTAGCAGGATAGCTGGCCAGAAAACAAATGTCAGTGGCAGAAGCATCTAGGTGTTAAGTGAGGAAGAGTAAGACTTTTGAGCCAAGATAAAAAGACAGAAATCCTAAATTTTTCTAGGGTGAAAATGTTTATACAGAGAGAAGTGCGTTACTGTATTTCCCAGTATTTCAGCCAGCTGTCTTCTGGGATGGATGCTTCCCTTGGAGACCAAGTGTGCAGGGATTTAATAATGTGGGAAAAGCTGGACAATGGGACAGGAAACTATGAAGCCTGGATTCACCAAAAGATGGGCACAGTGACTGGAGTGGGTTTTCATCAAAGAATTTGTGTTCATGTGAAACCGTTAATTCCAATATTGACTGGACACAGATGCCCTCCAAAAGTTTTGGACCAGTCCTCAGCCACTGCCAGGTCAGATTAACGGTATTGATTTCACCTTCTGTCTCAGTCTAAAGAAGAAGTGGAAAAATATTCATTTATTAATGCCAGGCTTAAGGTATTTTTGTTATTACTGTGCAGACAGACCTGAGTAACTGTGCAGACTCTTTGACATAGAAAAAGGATGGCTGTAGTTTTCCTTTCAAGCTGATAAAAGAACATCTTTATAATTAAAAACTTAGGTGGTTTTTTTTTTCTCACTCCTCTTTCCACTTTCATTTATTTATTTGTACTTTTGGTTCTTCATTTTCAAAGATTTCGTACTCATTGCTTTAGGACAAAAAGAACTGTGATGACAAATATGGTTGTTATTTTTCATCTTATTCCCAAGGGTCTTTTCTTCTGCAGATGATGAGCATCTGCTCCTAGTCATGTAGAAATCTGATTAACAAAGCATGATCTTTGATTAGCATATTTCAGAAATTGTTTCTTATTATGATCTCTCCTTAGGGCTTGTGTTGCTTAGCAGTAGAACAACCTTCCAAACTTATTTAACATGTTGAGGAACTTTGAAGACGTATAAATACCTATTTTGACCTTTTATGTTCATATGGATCATGCATTCTGCATTAAGTGGTAAAAAGTCTTGAGAAATAATCATCCACGTTATGGGGTTTTTTGCTGTCTTCTGACAAAGTCTGTGGTTTTGCTTGTATTTAATAAGCTTCCTTCTACTGTTTTGAACTGTATATAAGGGCTGTTCGCAATGAATAAGAAATTATGGTTCTCTAGTGTGTTCCATTTAAGGAACTTCATGAGCTTTTCCACCATGAATGAAATAACTCATCCAACACACAGGTGGGGAAAAGCTTTTTTATTATTGCCAACATTATTATTATTTTCAGATTTTAAAAGCAAGACACTGAGAGAGAAGTTGAGGCCTGATTTAAAAGCAAATAGTGACTGGGATTTCTAACATCTTTTCCCTATTCCTTTGCATCAAACTGAGGACCCTTCAACAATATTTTTCTTTTCTTTAATTGCAAAATATTCAAAAGTTGTGTTTCTTTTAACAATAATGCATTGTGTGATGCTGTTTCAGAATATACGTACTTCAGAAGTGCATGTATTTTTAGTGGCTTAGAAGACCTAAGGAGCATCCTAAAGTGGATATAATTCTCCAAATACAGTAAATTTTACTATGAAAAAATGCTAAGTATTAAAACTCTGAATGATGTCACATAGATCATGTGGGCCTAAATCTTGCTTCTCTTATTTGTGCCAAATTAGTATTGATTTTCAAAGCTAAACCCACAACCCCACTTACACAGGCTCTGGCCGACAGAACACTATGAGCACCGGGCTGGAGAGTGCTCTCCAGCAATCCAACAACGTTGGCAGATATTAGCCCTGGGCTCCTAGCCAATTTGCACAATGGTTTCTGTTGATGCAGCATTTTGCATCAAGGATGGGTCACCAGCAAAAGCAGACAACATGCTTGTGCTCGAATAAAAGAGCAAGGCCAGCTGCAAGCCAGCAAAAGTTCTGGTCATTAAATTTTTTTTTCGTATGGATACGATGCCTGAATTCTGTCAGGTCACTGAACCTATATTCTGGTGACCCTTCACGCTCCAAGTGGCACTTACCCATTGAAGGCTTTACAGAAGAGGGGATCTCACTCTGGTTTGCAGTTTAAGAATGTCTAGGTAGATGGATAGGGAAGGAAATCGTGGCTTGCCATTTCAATCCCTGCCTCAGTCTTTAACTCAGTCGCCAGTGAGAGCGAAGTGAGAGCATTAAGAATGCCCATCACACAAGCTGTCTTCTGGGAATGTAAAGAGCAGGGACTGGGCTACTTCTTATCTGCCTGTTGATCTGACTTAGAAAATACACCAAAAGGTGACAGCAAAACAACCCTGAAGAGCCTTTTCAGCCTTTGGTCTCCCCAGTGGGATGGACCTTGGCCCCTCAAACACTGCCCATGTTTTTTCCTAATGGCAGCTCACTGCATGTGGCTGCCTTGTTGTTTATGGTGCAGGAAACAGATGGTCTTTTCTCCTTCCTTGCTCACTTCACCTTTTCTATCAGTTTTAATGGCTTTAAAAGAAAAAGCTTTTAACACTTCTGTTTTATTTTTATGATTTCCCATGTCTTGCACCAAAGGCATTCCACTAAATACATATGCACTAGTGATGCTCAATTGCCCATCACAAATGTGTAATGGGTGTTAATGTGGTACGAGCTTGTCGCTACGGCTGTTTTAACCGACACAGAACAGCTGCAGCACTTCAGCACTGCAGGAAAACAGAATTCTCTGCTTCTTGGAAATACATTTATAAAGAAATTTGGTACACAGTAAACTGAAACTCCTTGTACTTCAAATCGTATCCTTTAAAAGTTTATCTGATTGTTCAGTAACAGTGGGAAACTCAGTTATCATAATGTGCAATAAGAGCTTTATACAGTCCCAAAAATGAAATTAAGAGTTGGCCATTTCCAAGAGCATCTCATTATCTGGGGAGGGAGTGGAGAGGTAAGATGGAATTTGAGGATGCATTGAAGAGGAACAGAAAGTCAAATCCATGGCAAAATATTGTCCCAAAAAATCTTATCTAAAAATCACTTCTTAAAGATGCGGTTTCTCTGTATGGCTGTGGTGTCCCTTCTGAAGTATTCACATAACCGTTTTTTGAATATTTGTAATTCATCCAGGCAGATATGTCTTATTGCTGATCTTCAGAAGCATCCTTTTGTGAGAGAATGAATTTAGATAGATAGCCTTTCAAATGGGACTTGATTGCACAAAAGTGTTTGTAAGAGATTTTCCCAGGTGGGATCAGTGCTCTAATCGGAGCGTATCCTGCACAGCACTGTATTGCTTCTCTTTTTTTATTTCAAGGATTACCAAATCACTACTCATTTAAGGAAGCAGCCTATAGAAGCTTGGCAGGGGCAGGCAGGCAGGCTTGCACACTGCAGGACAACAAATATGGTCTGTTGAGCTTCTGTAGGGAGCAGGAGGTTGCTCCAGCGCCTGCTCCGGTGCCCAATGCAGCAGCATCTTCTTGCCTCTGTGAAGGAGCAGCTCCTGCCTCCACTGAGATCAGACCCTCTTGTTCGCTTTGGGTGCTAAACAGCATCATCCCAAACCAAATCCTAATTTTAGCACATCAGGCCTCTGATACGTGATTAATATCTTCATTTATTTGAGGGGAGGAGAAAGGCATGTGCAGTGTATGTGCAGTTCTAGCAAAAGCTAGTGTAATATCCCATGTGCTAATTTCTTTATTTAGTGTTAGGAGACAGTTTTATAGAGAGAGAAAAGAATGAAGGGCTTCCTGAGACTCTCCTTGTGCCTTTCTCAGTCTTTTTGTTGCATCTGGGAAAAACAGTTCATCACAAGCTAAATGGGCATCTTTGCAGGAGCCTCCGGTTAGAATATTGGCACTGTGTCGCTGTGCTGGTCCAGTCTCTGAGTACTCTTGTCACATAAGCAGGGTGTGTGTGTGTGTGCATGTGCACATCTGTGTTAATCTTGAGGGTTAATCCTTTCCAGTGCAGGATTGCATGTCACTTTTGTGCACTTTCCAGACTCTTGACTAGTTGCAGTACATCAAATATCCATCACATTAACAGGAGAGACATTCCCTTTACTGCTCCCATGTCCTCTTCTCTGGCAACTTAAGAATTGTGGAGAGAAAGACTGCTCACTGAATATTCACCCTGAGGCTGACTGAAGATATCTTTCTCAGCAACATATACCTGTCTGTCCCCAGATCCTGTTAGGCTCCTGTTTGGCTGTTGGAGAAAAGGACAAAGCAGCCTCAGCAACATATACCTGTCTGTCCCCAGATTCTGTTAGGCTCCTGTTAGGGAAAAGGACAAAGCAGTAGTGATTGCTCCTCAGGGAACCAAAGTCATAAACCAAAGTGGGGATGCTACCACCAAGAGGGGTAGCATTAAATAGTGTCAGAAGGAGAATAAAGAGTGTGAGAACTGACTTTAGAGGAAGAACTTCAGCTGGGGAACATCAGCAGGGACAACAGCTTGGGCATATTTGCTCTGAGATAACAACACATCATGCTCTCTAATCCCACTTCCGACAGCACTGCTACTCATGGAGATTGTTGTAAAGAAGCCCAGGATTATTTTATTGTTATCACTGCTATTCTACTTAAGCATTTTAAGTACAGGAGAGGCTTATCTGTAAAAATTAAAAATAATTTCTACAAAATAATACACCTGTTTTAGAGTATCTGTGAAATTAAATTTATTAGCACTATGCAGAATCTTTAAGCTCTTCGCCTATCTTTCTACTTATACATCTCTATTTAGCATGCAGCCTGAAAACACCAGTACATGCTATAAAGTGGCAAAGTATTTATTCACTCATATGTGGGGTTGTTCATTCTAACCGTTTGTCATCTGTAAACCAAGAGATAACTTTATATGCATTTCTCACTTTTTTTTTTTACTATGTCTGGTTTTTTTTATAGCCCTTGATCCATCCAAAGATCCGTGTTTGAAGGTGAAGTGCAGCCCACATAAAGTGTGTGTCACTCATGACTATGAAACTGCTATTTGTGTAAGCCGCAAGCAGCTGGTACACAGGTAAGGACACTTCATGTTGTCTGAGCGTTTTGTGCTTTCATGGCCATCCAGTATGATGAGAAGAAGTAAAATGAGAAAGCTCCAAAAGGAACATTAAAACCCATAATTTTAAAATATAGATATATCAAACCTCTGCTTAAATTTGGTAATGGACTGAAAATGTTGGTAGAACTTTTTAAATCATCTCTCCTGGGAGTGATATAATTACAGAAAGCTCCAGGTCTGATTGTTGAATGACTGAATTAAGAGCAAGTGAAATAGCTAAGATGTTAAAAACTTTGGCTGAGATCTTCAAATAAGCTTCAGAACTTCACTGAGAGAAGCTATTCATAAACAAAGAAAAGCCTGCTGGATATAGGTTGCAGTATGCTATGAACAATCAAGAATGAAGAAATTTATAAACAAATTTAGAGAAAATAAACTAACATTGCCCTATTTTGGATGCAGAACAAGTAGAACCAGTAAGGAAACTGGTCTTGAGTAACTCCAGAATCTCTCTTAGTCGAGACTAAGAATAAAATTGAAGAATTAAACCCCTCCATTTGCCAACAGATGTTGAATAAAACCTGTATAGCTGTAATGGGTAATGCTGAGTGGCTGTACTTTAAGAAAAATATGTTGTCTTGCTTTCATTATGTGTGACTGATAAATCTGGGAACTGGTCTTCAGTTTTTTTTCCCTACTTAGTAGAGATGCAAAAATTTGCTTGTAAGAACTCAGGTCCCTAAGTGTCATTGTCAGCTGAGATTTGAGTTCCACAACTGTTTAAGCCAAACTAAATTCAGGATGATCTGATTCCCATGTACCAGTACTACATCTCATCATTTCTCACGGCTACCTGGCTGAGGAAGCTAATCCAGTAAAAAAAAACTACTTTGATTTATAATACAAAGTAAAAGGTATAATGTGCGTGAGGCGGTATGTTTAACCTTTGGTTTTCAATATGGAATGAAGCCTGGAAGGAAGTTAGGAGTGCGACTATGTGCAGTGCTTACATTCTAATGACATTTTTGGCATTATGTACCTTACATTTTCTGGTTAGGATGGATCTAAAGCACTTGCATTACATACTAGTTCTTATGATATATAGACATAGATGTTGAGCCAAATGCTTTCTGAGCCATTTCCAGTATTTAATGTCCCAAAAGCGGTCAAAATGGTACAGAGTAATGGTATAAAGGAGGAGCTGAATATCCCTTTTTTCCAGAAACCAGGCAGTGTTTCATGTGATCTCTCTATGATTCCTCCACTGCCTGCAGCTATTTCAGCTAACCTTTGAGTAGCACTGTGACTATGGAGATGAATAGAAAAGTATTGAAAACTTACTTTGAAAATTCTCCAAACAATTTCCAGCAAGTTTTTTAATGCTGAAAGAGCTACTGCTGATGTGTGATAGTGGCACATATGTCCCCAAAGTGGTTTTATTCTCAAAATATCTGGCTATCCTTACCTCAGAGGGTAGATGTGTCAGTAAGGAAAGTAACTAGGCCAAATTCTCTGGTGTTTTGAATCAGTGGAGTCACACCACTAAAGATTTTCATCTTTCGTTCTACAACATTCTGTTCTTTTTTGCGTGCCTGACCTGAATACCACTGTACATCCGTCTCCAGCCCTATTTAAGGCTGTGTTAATCAGGAGTAAATGCATTACAAAAGGTGGAGTTGCACCCATTTAAAACCAATGAAAGCCTGAATACATTAGTGTGGGGGCATGTATGGTAGGAACCACGGCATAACTCAGCACCATGGCAATTGCGCTGCGCATCCGCAGTGCTTTGGGGTGTGCTCAGAAGGATTTTCCATTTCATGCATCATTATCAACTTGCTCTGGTGGCTTTACAAAGCACGTAGGCTCAGCAAAAAGTAATCAGGAGAGCAACATCTTGCATTATTGCTGAGGTTTCCAGGCAGAGCTATGCTGATTTGTGTCACCTGGTTAACTGGCCGGCCTAAGAGCTGCAGCACAAGGAAACTCTATTTTTCCAAACATAGTGTAGCTGACTTGGAAATCACCAGTGACAATGCAGTGCCATTGCTGTTTCATTTCCTTTGTGCTGGAATGTGCACTTTTTAAACCACTGCAGGAATGCAATAACAGAGTATAGAATTGAGTTAAATGAAAAATTGTTATTTTACATTTACTCAGACCCTGATTCTGTGATGGCTAACTCATCCTGTAAGGCTTCCGGGCAGAGCAAGCCTCGTGCCTTTAGAGTAAGACTCACATCTGGCAGCACAGCTGTCACATATTGCACAGTGCTGTGGCTTCCATCCTGCCCCTGGTGGATCTGCTGGATGTGGGATCCCCCAACCCAGCTGGCCAGACACGTGGGGTGGGTGTGTGGGAGAGCAGCTCACGGTGCCAGTGGGTTTGCTGGTGGGCTACTTCAGGGTGCCAAAGGAGCCTGCCAGAAGTCCCATACCCCAGGGGCAGCCTGGCCCCTCCTGTGCAGCCTCCTCCTTCCCTGTCCCTCCTTCCCTCCCCTCCACAGTCACCTGGTGACAAACCCTGGGTCTCGAAGATAAGGGAGAAGATGTCCAAGAGGAGTTTCAGACAGATAATAGCATTTTGTCAGCACATCCTCTAAGGCGTTTACAATACAAATTGAACAGGGCATTAAAAGAAAAGGCAAGACTGAGCAGTGATTAAAGAGTGTGTAAAAGATAAATTTGAAGATACCATCTTATATGCTTAATAGCCCTTGGACTAATGATAGAGCCCTATGAAATCTTTTGTATGGATTAAAAGCCCCTTTCAATTTGGACATGATCTATGAGGAAGACTCTTCATTAGTTCAGTTTTGCATGAAACGCAGTATTTAATACCTCTCAAAGATTTCTCATACATTTGCAATCCTGTTAAAACTTCATGCCATTTGTCTCTGCTGGTGTTAGTGCAGTTGATGGGAAGGAAAGATGTCACTCTTGGGCTTTTTTGAAAAGAACAGAATGAGAAAACGGGATTGATGAAAAAATTATGGGCATATTAACATGTCCAGAGTTTGCAGCTTTGTTCAGTCCATTTAACGTGCAATCACCAATTAGTTCATCACTGCGGTGTATGTCGCTCACAAAGGTAATCAAGCAATGTCTCTGCTTCTCTGCTGGGATTTAGAAATCCAGATATTTACTCAGTATTTCTTCAGTGCTTTTGAGGCTACTGCTGCTGACAAAAGAGGCCACTACTGAGTTCCTCACAGATTTTTTTTTTTTTTAAGATCTGGACAAGTTCCCAGATAAAACATCTGTTCTTCTAAATTACGCATCAAAGGCTTGGTCTGACTAACGTGGCAATGTTGGCAACTCAACGAGCAGACAGAGCTCCCTCTCTTCCTTTACAAATCCTGCGGTTGATACACCATTCCTGGTTAGGAAGGACCCTGTTGAGAACAAGTCCCCATATGTGAGACTCAGCATTTTCGTACCGCTGCTGTTCTGTGTGCTGTTTGTGTGCTTCAAATTCTATCCAAAAGGCAATTCACAAATGAAGGAAATTAATAATTGTAAGAATGTCAGTGACCCACCTGCTTTCAAGAACTGCTGGGGAGCATTACAGAAAAATCTTTGACCACAGCAAATGCACTTACAGGGATTTACTGAAAAGTTGTGCACATAAGCAAGGATTTTAACCGGCACTATTCCTCAATGTTTATGTATTAGATAAACAGTTACCTTTTAAAATGTACTAAATGTAGGGCATACAACCCCTAACCCTGTTGCTTTGGTGTTCTCTCTGACTCGTGCTCATCTGTGTTTTCCCTTGCTCTGCTCCTGGATGCTAATGAGGGTTGGCACAACACCAAGCCCTCCCTCAGGGGCAAGATCATCCCGTGCTGAAAACCTGACTCCCACCTTCTCGGTGGCCTGACCGATGGGAGGGAGGGCTTGTTCCTGAGCTCGTGGCCTTTAACTCCACGTGATTTATGTGGCAATGTTTATCAAAGCCTTAATACATGAGCAATCTATATGAGGTGTTGTAACAGAATCAAACCTGGGAGATGATTAATTATCTTTGGATCTGCTAATAACATCAGTTTGTTCCCCAATTAGCCTTGCTGTGTTCATAGTTTTTTTTTCTATTCTCTTGTTCATTTTCATGCTGATTCAGAAAAGAATTGTTGTTCATTTGTGTATTAAGTACAATTCAGGGAAGAAACCATATCCCAAAAGGAACTTTCCATTGCTCAGCTTCCTGGTGGTATATTTATCGGTGTTAATTATATGTGTTTTACTTGTATGTACTTTCTCAAAAGGGGTACCATGAGCAGCAAGATGGAAGAACCCAGACAATATTAGGGCAAGTGCCACTATCTAACTTCTCTGCAAACTCCTATTCATCTTTCAGTTTGTGCTTAAATGAAGAGGGACGGGATGTGCCTCCCTAACAGGCTGAATTCTCCCCCATTTCATTGAAATCTCGATGCTTTTTTGTAAGCTGGCAGATGCAAGACAGGCAAAATTATGCAGAAAATTTGGAAAATCTGCTGTAGAAATGCTGTTCTTTCAATTATTATTTAATCTTAGCTGAGGAAAAATGTGGTTATTTTCCGTGGTGCTGCAGTAGAGCACAGTCCGTTCATCCATCGTGGGTAGGCAGCTTGCCAAAATGCGTGTTCTGGGACACTGTGGCCTTCCTGGAGTAACAGGACTCCATAATTTTAACGGTGAGATGTGGGACTCCACTCAATAATTTAGGATAATACAGCTCTATAATAAAATCGTTATGAAGATTAAATTGTTAATGTATGCAGAAAACATAAATATCAAAGTTATTTTTCTCATCCCCAGAGTTTTTTGTAAGTTCTGGGATGAATTCGCTGTTATGAGTTAAGCTTTACTGAAGATTTGTCTATGGGCACCAAATGAATTCTTTTGTTGATTAACATTTTCAGAGTTAAGGGAAGAAGACTGCCCAGTTCAGAGCAAAAAGAAAATCTTTTAACCATTGTTTTAGATGGAAAAATAAAGCCATTTCAAATTTGTTGGATTTTTTTTTCCAAG